TATCGCATGGTCAAGTCTTCCGCTGTGTTTATCTCTCCCTGTGCGGTGTGATACTCCTATCCTCTCCCCTTCCTTCTGTGTGTGTATGGGCATGTGCAGAAGTCTATGTGAGTGAGTGTTGGCCATCAGGCAGCGAACAACCAGAATCATAACAGTTGGTATCGGAGCTATTGGATCCAGGCTCTGGAGCGATGGATGAGTTGGAGCACACATCATCACCTGGCGAGATACTGGAGTTGAGCTTCATGGCAATTCATCATCTTCAAGGTTGTTGTCAGTAGGGTGGTGGTTGTGAGTGTGTGGCGAGAAGCAACAGGCAGAGGGTGACACACTCCTGGCTAGGGTTATGCAGGAGTGAGTGGCGATTAATAATCCAGAGGCCCAGGAGGCTCTGGGAGGCTAATTATAGCTTGGCGATTCACCTGGAGGTTGGCGATGGTCAGGGAAGTGATCCCAGGAGGTTGCGATTTTGGAATTGGGTCAGGATCCCCAATTTCCAATCAGCGTTGTGTAGGGTGATGTGGCACTGTACTCTTTGGAGCAGTTACCAGCACCTGGGAGTCCAAATTCGTTGAATCTGTCAGTTGGGGGTGAAGCGCCTCAGGGACTTCTACTGGATCACCAAGTTTGGAAGAATTCTGTACATGGGAACACTGTATACTATCAGGAGGTGAAACTGGCGAGACAGGGTTAACTATTCAACCATAGCCAAGATTTCATGCATCTTCTTCAGAGTTGACCCTGAAGTGAGTGTGTTCCTTACTCCATCCTGTGTGGCGATTCAGGGGCTATTTTTAGAACAAAGAAAATTGGTCTGGCTGTCAGGTGACAGTTGAAAATCGAAATTCAGACTGTGGGACAGCCATATCCAACTTCTCCTACCTATCTTCTTTGACCTCTACTAACCCTGTTTAACCTCCCCTCTGACCCAAATTTCATCTGCTACTGTTGTACAGTGTTGCGATTCATATCATACTGTGAATTGGATTGTTCAGGGCCAGTCTGTCACTGATATTGCAAATTTGAATTCTGCGCTGGCATAGCCAAAGCCATGGTAGACTAGGGTCAGTCATAACTTTGATTCTAGCCTTCAGAATTCAGTTTTGTCAGTCCCTGGAAAATCGCAATTCAATATTCGAGCAGTGTCTGAAATCGCACAGTCAGATTTGATGTTTTGAGTCAGTTACAGTGTTTGCTGTAATTCGCCATACCCCAGTATGGCATACAGGTTCCTACAGTGTTGATGTCAACAGGGTAGGTCTAAAAATAGGTTTTCATCTCGGTCATCAGTAGATACTAATTAGTCACTTTGTCTGATTACTAATCAACACTAATTAGTCCAAGACTGCATCCTGGCAGTTGTTGACCCAGGATTTGCAATTACTGCGTGCAATTGTTGTGTCAGGGCAGGGATGGAAAAATCGTGAAATTGGTTTTTGCCTGAGTGGACTCTGAACTGACCCTGACCCTCAAGCGGTCTGCTGAGACTGAGCACTCACTTGCTCAGACTAACCAATCTTCTCTCTCCAGGCAGGTGACAGCAATTGGCTTAGTACTGCACAGAACATCCAATTCCTGTTACCTCCTGTATGATCTCTGACTGTTATTTGTGTTGTTTATTTGTCTGTATTGTGGGGTGAAATATGGAAGAGTCAGGGAACGCTGAAGGAGTTGAGAGTTCTGGGGAGACACCCCAGGTAAAGCTCGAGATGAAAGTGCAGCCTGTAACACCTGTACCGCCTGACCCTTTAGAGGCTGAACTGCGGGACCAAGAGGAGAAACTCCGCTTGCAGACCCAGGCAGTTGAGAACCTAAAGGCAGAGCTCAAGAGAAAGGAAGAGTATGCCCAGAAAGAGGCCCGAAGAAAAGTGTTGATTGGAGATATGCAGAGGATTATGAGCCTCGGTACGACCAGTCAGGCAAGTAAGGACATGGCAGAATTCATCCTCCTGCAGGATGAGATTCACCGGTCCTACTTTTCTAACTGGGATGACCGAATCTCAGGTCTAGAGACCAGTCATTCAGCTTTGTCAAAGAAGCTGGATGACATCTCTGCTCAGTTGAACAACATTGCCAAGCAGCTGCAGATTGCCCCTGTTCAAATTGTTCCTCCATCTTTTGGCCCTTCTGCAGCACCTGTCCCAAAGCCCCCACACTCCAGACCTACATCCCCACCTCAGTCCTCAGCCCCATTTGAGCCGCAGCGGCCTAAGCTGACCCCTCCACCAATGTTCTCAGGAGAAGATCCTAAGGTGGATGTGGCGGATTGGGTCACTGCGAAGCGAACCTACCTGAGTGGGTTCAAGTGCAATGAGGACGTGAAGGTATCAGCCATCCTGGCACGGCTGGAGAGGACTGCACTAAAATGGTGCACCTCCACCTCCAGCAAGCAGGAGATGGAGATGGTTGATTTGGCGCAGAGGTTGGGGGTGGCTGGATTTCTGCAGGCCCTGCAGGACCGGTTTGCAGACAAGGAGCAGGCAAGAAAGGCTGCAGATAAAATTTTGCGCCTGGGCCAGAAGAAGTTTGATTGCTCGTTGTCCAAACTGTATTCCACCTTTGAGAGTCTAACATCGACTCCAGGGTTGGAGATGAGTGAGCAAGATCTGCTCATTCATTTCCTGAGGGCAGCGCCTGAGCAATTCCAGCTTGCTCTCTTCTCTCAGGGCCATAAGGACTGGAGGTCCTTTGGCAGAGCAGCCCTGGACTTGGAATCCAAGCTCCCTGGGGAAAGGGAAGGGACGTGCCTCTTCCCCTGGGGCCCACAGAGTACCTCTACCACGAGACGTCCGGTGGCCAGCTGACCCACTTGATTCTTCCACCTTCCCCTGGCATGCACTCGGGATCCAGGAGGGAGTTTGGAGGAAGAGGAAGGATAAGGGGGTCTGCCTGAGATGCGAGGGGGACCACTTTCTCAAGGATTGTCCCAGTATGCCTCGTAGGTCTGCAGGCGGCTCTAGTTCAAAAAACTAGAGCAGAGAGAGGTGGAAGCAGCAGCTCCTTCCACCAGTGCTGATTCCCTCTCTGATGGAGGTGGATCTTCACATTCTCTCGCTGGAACTTTTATTTCTAGAGTTGCATTAGCAGAGTCTTTCACTTTTGAAGACTTTGAGTTGGATGAGACGTGGGAGGAGGTTGATGCTCAGACTATTGCTGATTTTTTCCTGTCCTTGCAGGAGAAGAAGAAGCACAAGTCTGAACTCATCCTACTTCGACCCTACATCCTGGGAGCCAAGATCAAAGGGCTCTTGGATTGTGGGGCTACTCGCAACTTCATCTCTCCCAAGGCAGTCAGCAAACTGCACTTGGACCAGAGGTTGGTGAAATTGCGACAGCCATTGGAAGTCCGCATTGGGGACTCTTCCACAATCAGGATTACCACTGCTGTCAAGCGCCTACCTGTGTCCTTTGACAAGCAGGGGGAAGTCAGGCACCGCCTGAACTTCTATGTGTTTCCTAATGTTCCCTTTGACCTTGTCTTCTCCATGCAGTGGCTTGGTGCCACCAACCCTAGGATTGACTGGCAAATCCCTAGGGTTGAGCTGCCTGACCGGCATGGGGTCTATTGCCCTTGCATGCTCGCTGACGAGTACCATCCGGCCAGCAACTGCTATTGTATGACTGCTCGCAAGTTTTTGCGATTCTCACGCCAGACTGACCACGCTCGTCTGTTCGTGGCTTATGTCAAACAGACTGACGTGGAGACTGCTCCCTGTCCCTCTCAAATTGAGCAGGTGGTAGACCGCTTCTCAGATCTTATGGAGGAGCCTACTGGACTTGTCCATAGGCAAACCAAACATAAGATTGAGATCCTGCCTGGCTCGGTCCCTCCCCGGGTCTACAGGATGTCTCCTGCTGAACTTAAAGCGCTCAGGAAACAGTTAGAGACCCTGACCAGCAAGGGTTGGATCAGACCTAGCACATCTGAGTTTGGGGCACCTCTCCTCTTTGTTCAGCAAGATCGACCTCAAATCTGGCTACCACCAAATTGATATGGCTGAAGGCGATGTCCACAAGACAACCTTCCAAACCAGGTATGGGACTTACGAGTACCTGGTTATGCCATTCGGTCTTTGCAACGCGCCGGGCACCTTCCAAACAGAGATGCACCACATACTGAGGCCTTACCTGGACAAGTTCGTAGTTGTCTACCTCGATGACATCTTGGTATTCAGTCGTTCTGTCCAGGAGCATGCGCAGCACCTGGATCTGGTCCTCCAGGCCTTACGTGCTAACCAGTATAAGATCAACGGGGAGAAGTCCTCCTTTGGAGTTCCCTCTATAATCTATCTGGGACACGTGATTTCTGGAGAAGGGTTGGTTCCTGAGGCAACCAAAGTTGTTGCAGTTCAGGACTGGCCGCGACCTGCTAACATTCGTGATGTCCGGTCTTTCTTGGGGCTTGCATCCTACTACAAGAAGTTCATTAAGAACTTCTCAGCAATTGCAGTTCCCCTGACTGATCTTACAAAGAAAGACACTTCCTTTCTTCGGACGTCAGAATGTCAGGAGGCCTTTACACGTCTCAAGGAGGCCTTGATTCGTGCCCCTGTTCTGAAGTTACCTGACCCTACCCTGCCTTTTGTGCTTACCACTGATGCGAGTCAGTATGGGGTAGGGGCGGTACTTCAACAGGATGATGGGAATGGTCTGCAGCCTATCGAATACATGAGTAAGAAGATCAAGACCAAGAAGCTGCAGGATTCCACCTATGAGAAAGAGTTGTATGCTCTTGTGTCAGAGCTCAAGCATTGGAAGCACTTCCTCCTGGGCCGGCACTTCAAGATCTTCTCAGATCACTCCACCCTCCAGTGGATGAAGTCCCAGGGAGAGTTGAATGACAAGCTTGCTCGCTATATCCAGTTCATTGACATGTTTGGCTTTGAACTGAGACACAAGAAGGGTTGCTACAATCGAGTGGCAGATGTCCTTTCTCGTAGGCCTGACGCTCTCTTTCTGATCTCCTTTACTCACTCGTTTGGAGAGAGGACATGTCAGACCATTGCCCAGTTGCTGCCCCAGGATGAGATCTTAGGGCCTATTGTGAGGAATCTCCAGGACGATCCTGCCTCTGAACCAGGATACACTTTGGTTTCAGGCCTGCTGTACACATGCAGCAGAGGTGAGGAGCGCCTGTGCATTCCCCAGGACCGCAAGCTGAGGACACTTCTGATGTCAGAGTGTCATGACACTCATGGTCACTTTGGTGCCCTCAAATCTTATGCAGCCCTGTCGCAGCGCTTCTTCTGAAAGGAGATGAGGAGTGACATGCTGCACTATGTGGAAACCTGCGAGTTATGCCAAAGGAACAAGGTGGTACGACGACCTCCCCTTGGCTTACTCAAACCCCTACCTATCCGTGATGCTCCTGCGCAGTCAGTTTCTATTGATTTCACTAACTTGGGTAGGACTACACCACGAGGTATGCGTCAGGTCATGGTATGTGTGGATCGGTTCTCCAAATATGCAGAGTTCATCCCCTTACCAGCTGAGGCCCGTGTGCCAGCCGTTCAGGCGGCTTCTGCTGACAGGTGGGTCACACATCATGGACCACCCACCTCTATTGTCAATGACAGAGATCCCCAGTTTTGCAGCAATGAATGGCAATCCTACTACAGGGATTACCTTCATTCGAGATTGGACATGACATCTGGTCGTCATCCTGAAGCCAATGGTCAGGCTGAAGTGATGAACCAGATTTTGTTCCAATTGCTGCGTCCTGTGATCAGTCCAGACCAACAGGACTGGGATCTCCATCTGAGTCGTGCACAGCTTGTGTATAACACGTCCGTACACTCCTCTACTGGTTTCACACCCTACCGGTTGCACTGGGGTCGTGAACCACGGCAGCCTCTCGATGATATCATCGACAAGGCTACCCCTGCGCTGACACCTGGAACTGCAGAGTTCATCAGGCGTTACCGTGTGGACATAAAACGTGCCCGTGCTAACCTGTTGAAGGCCCAAAAGGCTATGATTCAACAGGCTAATAAGCACCGGCGTCCTTCTACGATTCGCACAGGTGACTGGGTGTGGGTACTCAGTTCTGAGCTGTCACGAGAGGAGGACATCTCGCCCAAGTTGTTGCCACGATATATGGGTCCATGGCAGGTCCTAGATACAGTGGGAGCTGACCCGTTTGGACCATCCTACAATGTGGACGTCCCTCTGCATCTACGAACCTACCCTGTCTTTCATGCATCTAAGCTGTTGCCATTTACGCCAGCTGATGCATTCCCAGACAGGCCTCTCCAATTCGGTCCTCCTATCCCTGGCAAAGGGTATGAGGTCGAATCTGTGGAGGATGAGTCAGGGACAGGCCCAGATAAGGAATACCTTGTAAAGTTCTTGTACCAGCCGCACACTGAAGATCGCTGGTTCCTTTGCAAGGATCTCCTGAGGACAGCCAGGTCTGCCATCCTCAAATATGAGGCAGCACAAAAGGGAATATCCCTTCGGCGCTCTGCACGCCTACGCCCCTAGCTCGGAGGTCCTCGCTCCGGGGGAGGGTAGGTCTGCAATGACTTGCTGATTTCTGAGTGCCTGTAGCCTCTCTCTGTCGAGGTTGTACTATAGGTAGGACAAATTCGTAATTTTGTTTGGCTGAGGGCCAACCGAGAAACCTACCTGTGAGGGAAATTCGTGAGGGACATATCTGCAAATCCGGGAAAAATACAGGCCCGGTACTAACCGGAATCCCCACAGCTACCTACCTAACTGCGTTTAGCAGGCCCGGGCTACCAATAGTACAGACAGGCCCTAAGGGCCTATTCGTATAGACAGTCCTATAGCCTATAGCCGGGTCCGGTAGAGGCCGAGAGGCCAAAACTGATACGGTACCAGTCGGTCAGTCAGTCTGGTCTAGGTCGAGTCTAGGCTAGTGGTAGGGTATAGGTAGGATGGGCACATCGGTTCAGGGCTTTTTGGCAGTTGGTACCGTGTACATGGAGGCTGCGCTACGTGTGAACCGGAAGTGGTGACGGCTCCACGTGGAAGGAGACGGACATAGCCAGACCTTCGGAGCACAGGCCATAGTTGGGGCCTGCGCTGTACTCTGCCAGCACGTAGGGGCTGACAGAGGTCTGGGTTATCGGGGTCTGCTGGAGGCGAGAGAGATTGGTACCCTACTGGACCCTCCTCCGGAGTGGGGTCCCAGAGGGTTTGCGCTGCAGCCATAGCTGCAGCATCTTCATCTCAGAGGTCATCTAGTCAGGGTTTGGTGG